CCGGTTCTTTGAAAAGATAAACAAAATTAATAAACCAGTAGCCAGACTCATCATGAAAGAGAAGACTCAAGTAAAATCAGAAAAGAAGAGAAGTTAAAACTAACACGATAGAAATACAAAAGATTATACACCAACAAACTGGACAAGCTAGGAGAATGCAAGCTGGTAGAGCCACTCTGGAAAATAGTATGGAGTTTCCTCAGAAAGTTGAAAATAGAGCTACCCTATGACCCAGCAACTGCACTACTGGGTATTTACTCCAAAGATACAAATGTAGTCATCAGAAGGGACACCTGAACCCCAATGTTTATAGCAACAATGTCCACAATAGCCAAACTATTGGAAAGAGCCCAGATATCCATCGACAGATGAATGGATAAAGAAGATGTGGTGTATATATATACAGTGGAATATTATGCAGCCATCAGAAAAATGAAATCTTGCCATTTGCAATGACGTGGATGGAACTAGAGGGTATTATGCTAAGCAAAATAAGTCAATCAGAGAAAGAATTATCATATGATCTCACTGATATGTGAGAACGTGAGGGGGTGGAAAACCATTTGATCTCACTGATATGTGGAATTTGAGAAACAAGGTAGAGGATTATAGGGCAAGGGAGGGAAAAATGAAACAAGATGAAACCAGAGAGGGAGACAAACCATAAGAGACTCTTAATCTCAGGAAACAAATGGAGGGTTGCTGGAGTGGAGGGGGGGTGGGAAGGATGAGGTGGCTAGGTGATGGACATTGGGGAGGGTATGTGTTGTGAGTGCTGTGTATTTTTGAAAGAATTAACTGTGAATCAAAGACCTGTACCCCTGAAACAATATAATACATTATATGTTAATAATAAAAAAAAATTATACACCAACAAACTGGACAACCTAGAAGAAACAAAATTCTAGAAATGTACATCTTCTAAAACTGAATTAGGAAGAAATAGAAAATCTGAGCAGACCAATTACTTGTAACAAAATTGGACCCATAACCAAAAATCCCCAATAAACAGAAGTCCAGGCCCAGTGGCTTCACAGATGACTTTTACCAAACATTTATGAAGAGTTAATACCTCTCTTTCTCAAACTATTGCAAAAAATAGAAGAGGAAATAAAACTTCCAATTCATTCATGAGGCCAGCATTACCCTGATACCAAAACCAGATACAGACCCTCAAAAAAAGAAAGAAAGAAAATGAAAATTATAGGATACTCAAAAAAATAAAAAAGAAAGAAAAAGAAAATGAAAATATAGACTCAGAAATTCTCAACGGAATATGAGGAAACCAAATCCAACAATACATTAAAAGGACCATTTATCATGATCAAGTGGGATTTATCCCAGGGGTGTAAGGATCTTAAGATCAGTAACAAGACAAGGATGTTCACTCTTGCCACCTTTTTCAACATTGTATTGAAAGTCCTAGCTGTAGCAGTCAGACAAGAAAAAGAAAAGGCATCCCAAATTGGTAAGGAAAAAGTAAAACTGTCACTACTTGTAGATGACATGATACTATATATAGAAAACCCTAGAGACTCCACCAAAAAACTAATAGAACTAATAAATGATTAAGTTGCTAGATGCAAAATTAACATACAGAAATATGTTGATTCTATATGCTAATAACAAAGTAGCAGAAAGAGATTTTAAGAAAAGAATCCCATTTACAACTGCACAAAAAAGAATAAAATACCTAGGAATAAATTTAACCTAGGAGATGAAAGACCTGTACTCTAAAAGTATAAAACACCGTTGAAGGAAACTGAAGATAACACCACCAAATGGAAAGATAAACCATGCTGTAGAATGGATTAATATTTTTAAATATCCATAGTACCCAAAGCCATCTATGGATTCACTGCAATCCCTATCAAAATACCAGTAACACTATTTTTCACTAGGGAACTAGAACAAATAATCCTAATATTTGTATGGAACTACAAAAGTAATATTTGTATGGAACTACAAAAGACCATAAAAAAAACAAGATAATCTTAAGATAACAAAGCTGGAAGCATCATAATCCCACATTTCAAACTATAGTAAGAAGCTATATTAATCAAAACAGTATGGTACTGGCACAAATATGAGTCACATTGATCAATGGACCCAAATAGAGAGCCAGAAATAAACCCACTTATGGCAATTAATCTATGACAAAGGAGGCAAGAACATGCAATGGGGAAAAGACAGTCTCTTCAATAAATGGTGCTGGGGAAACTGGGCAGATGAATGCCAAAGAACGAAAGTAGATCACTTTCTTACACTGGACACAAAAATAAACTCAAAATGTATTAAAGACCTAAATGTAAGACCTGAAACCATAACACTCCTAAAAGAAAACATAAGCAGTAATGTCTTGCACATCAGCCTTAGTAATATTTTTCTGGATCTATCTCCTCAGGCAAGGGAAACAAAGGGAAAAATAAACAACTGAGACTACATCAAAATAGAAAGCTTTTGCACAGCCAAAAAAACCCAAAACAAAACAAAACACAACAAACGAAAACGGCAACCTACTGAATGACAGAAGGTATTTACAAATGATGTACTGATAATTAATATCGAAAACATATAAAGAACTGATATAACTCAACACCAAAAAAACCCCTAATAATCCACTTAAAAAATGGGCAGAGGACCTGAAGAGACTTTTTTTTCAAAGATGATATACAGATGGCCAACAGACACATAAAAAGATGCTCAACATCACCACTCAGAGAAATGCAATTCAAAACCACAATGAGGTATCATTTCATACCTATCAGAATGGCTAGTATCAAAAAATAAATAACAAGTGTTGATGAGGATGTGGATAAAAGGGAGCCCTCATGCACTGTTGGTGGGAATGTAAATTGGTGCGGCCACCAGAGAAAACAGTATGTAGATTTCTTGAAAAACTAAAATTAGAACTACCACATGATCCAGCAATTCCTCTCCTGGGTATTTACCCAAAGAATGTGAAAACACTAATTCAAAAAGATACATGCAACCCCTATATTTATATCATTATTTACAATAGCCAAGATATGGAAGTAATCTAAGTGTTCATCAATGGATGAATAAAGAAGATGTGGGGTGGGTGTGGGTGTGTGTGTGTACACACTGGAATATGACTCAGCCATAAAAAAGACTGAAATTTTGCCATCTGTGACAACACAGATGAATCTAGAGGGTTATTATGCTAACTGAATTAAGTCAGACAGAGAAAGACAAATACCATATTATTTTACTTCTATGTGGAATCTAAGAAAAAAACAAATGAACAAATAAGCAAAAGCTAATACAGAGACCTGGTGGTTGCCAGAAGGGAGGGGAGTGGGAGGATGGGCAAAATAGGTGAAGGGATTAATAAGTACAAACTTCCAGTTATAAATAATAAGTCATGAAGATGCAAAGTACAGCACAGTCAATAATATAATAATAACTTTATATGATGACAGATGGTAACTACATTTATTGTGGTAAGCATTGCATAATATATAAAATTGTCAATCCACAATTTGTATACCTAATATAATATTGTCTGTCAACTATACTTAAATTTTAAAAAGATTACAATAAAAACATTAAAGCTGTGAGTGGTTATGGCACAAATGAGAACTATTGCCTATCTTCACTTGCCCACAGTGGCCAGATGGTAGGTGTCTCTGCTATAGATACATACAGTCAGAATTTCCATTATAACACATTTTTAGTAGAAATAAAGAAGATTCCTTAACTATATTTAAAGAAAATATGCTGCTGAATATGATCAAGAATTGGAAAATGTTGAAATTGTCCCTAACCCAGATTTATTTGGATTAATGCAAAGTATATTTATTACTTTATATCTTAGATTTTTTGTTCTTTAACCTGCTAAAATTAGAGAAACAGAGACACGTATTTATAGATACATGTATTCACAAGAATTTACATTTCTAAAGGTAAAGGAAATTTGATTCATCTAAATAGTCTACTTCCAAAATGCATATTCATAATTAGCAATGTGATAATAAAACTTTGCAATGTCAATTGAATATAAGCATAAGTGACAGTGACAAGTAAGTGTGTGTGATTTTACTCCCATACTTATTTCATTCACATGAACATTTAAAGTAACGTAAGAGGAAATGAGTCAGGGGGAAAGTATTTCAAAAACTAGATAATAACAAGAAATATATAACATGCTTTAAAACAATGCTAAAAATCTCAACTCATAAAAGATAAATACATCGTGCTGGGAGAGTAAGTGCTTATATAGTGCACCTGTCTTTACAAAATGTGCGTCCTTACCTTGTACATTAAAGAACTTAGTTACTCAATAGGGAGGCTAAAGGAAGAAGATGAAACAAGGGGGCCTAGGAGAGATACTTAAAGCATTAGGAGCCAGTGTAACATGAAAATCAATCATATCTAAAGAAAAAGTAAATATCTGAAATTATACAGGCAATTTACTAAAGTAATTCCATTTACAAAATTGTCTTCTACTCATCAATCAAGCACTTATCTTTTGTAGAATGGTAAAATATACCTATGGCTGCAATTGATATGGAATCTACAAATGTAAAGTTATAATCAAAGTACAGTTACCTTAGGTTTCCTTAGGTAAGAACATCATAGGTTTTCTTAAATAAAACTCCAAGAAAACTTCAAAAACTTGAAAATTAATGCCAAGGATCTGTATCCATTTTTACATAGGCCAATCCTCTTGTCAGAAAAGCTTGCTAGTTTTGATTATTCTCTGTGCTTATAAATTTTACTTATTCACAAAACAAGTCAAATGGAAACCAAAATGTTTTAACAAGAATAAACCTGGTTTTGGCCAAATAATTAAGAAGTTATTCTGTTTTGCCAAACTAATGTGAAAGTAAAAACAAACTCTATTCTCTTACGTTCTTGAGTCTTTCTCCAAATTAAAACCATTTTAGCTAATGGAATCTATCTGTGCTCATCCTGAGATACATGTATTTGTTTCCCTGTTGACCAAGAAAATAACAAGAATCTCTGGTCATATTTACCTCAGCCCATTCTGTGGACCCCAGCAGCCCAAACTCTTCTGCATCCCAGCTGGCAAAAATGATAGTTCTTCTAGGTCTCCAGCCTGCAATCATTAACATACATTAATTAGGTACACCTGCCTAAAAATAGATGACAATTAAGTGAGTCACTTTTTGTCATCACCTACTAAGAAAACATTATTTACCTCCGCTCATCAGTTTTCCAAAACTCTGGACAATTTCTTGCAAAACAGCAGCCCCACCGGTTGGGTCAATAGCTCCGAACACCCAGGAATCCCGATGACCTCCTAGAACAACATACCTGTCTGGAAAATAAGGTGTTCAAAAGAACTACAACTTTCAATACATTACAAGTAGTTGTGATTTAGGTTTTTAAATTAAGCTTCCTTTTTGGTTGAGTTTCCTCCATAGGGGGAAAAAATCAACACTGTAAGGTAGAGATTTCTCTTAGAGTTGCAACAATTAGCTGTTTCACATCAGTCAGAGAAAAAAAGAATCAGTTATCAACTGAAGTTTATTTTCTTACTCTTCTAATCTTTGTAAAAATGAAGTGTTTAAAAACACTCAGACTCACCAGGTTCCACAGATCCTCTGATCGTTCCAATTACATTGTAAATCCTTGTAATTTTGTTGGTGTTATGAACGTGCATTCTTACCTTCCTAGGATTTCAAAGGGAATAATTTCATATAGATTATTACATCTAACAGTTTTGTTCCACCATTTTATTATGAAAAATCTCAAAATTACAGAAACTATAATAGGACAATGAATTCCCATATATCCGCAAACTAATTCAATGATCATTAACACTGTTGATGTGTGCAATGTGTAAATGGTTAATGCATTTTACTCCTAAGTACTTAAGCATAAAGTCAGATTTTATTTTTTATTTTTTTATTTTTTTATTTTTTAAAGATTTTTTTATTTATTTATTTGAGAGAGAGAGAATGGGAGATAGAGAGCACGAGAGGGAAGAGGGTCAGAGGGAGAAGCAGACCCCCTGCCGAGCAGGGAGCCCGATGCGGGACTCGGTCGCGGGATTCGGGGCTCATGACCTGAGCCGAAGGCAGTCGCTTAACCAACTGAGCCACCCAGGCGCCCCTTAAAGTCAGATTTTAAAACTGAATGTCAATATTTTTATTATTCTTCCCTCACAGCTATATTGTTGATATTTATTTAAAGTCCAAAATACTCTCTTATTCAAAATGTCTTGGGTATTCATTCTAAAATTTTTAAATACACTGTATAAATTACAAAAATAAGGAAGGCAGCCAATTATGTTTTAAAGGACCAGTAAGCATTTTTAAAATGTGTCTTTGTATTCACATTAATTCCTGCTGGTACGAGACTGTTGAAGCAGAATATCAGTATATTGTTAAATAGCTGGCTGAGTGCTGCCAAAAAGAAACATGGGAAACATGGGAAGGAAATGGGAATTTGGGAAGCACCTGCTAAAATGTACCAGACAACTATATAATGAAACTTTCGTAGCCCATCACTGTTGATTCTGATTTGGGCCAGCCTTTTAAATATCCACTCATGAAATATAATTAACCAAATTATAATTCAAGGGAAAATACAGTCAGACTCAAATAGGAAAAAAAAAGCCATTTACATTCTATGAATCCAAAATGACATAGGAAAATGCTCAGTCTCTTTTTCACAAGGAAACAAAATGAATCTTTATCTATGGGAGGGGGCGGGGTGGATAGAGAGGACTCCCAGCAGTTTCTAATTTGTGGTTATTTATGAATGGAAGAATTAAGAGGTTGTCAAAGCCTGTACATTACTAAGTGCAGATTCTGATTTTTCCCTCTATATGTATATTGTGCTTCTGAATGCATATTTAAATCATGTGCAATATTCAACTAAAGTGCCTTTGGGGCAAAAACTAATTAATGGGGTATTCTTTACATTTTAAGACATTAAGGATTTACTTTGCTACTGAGAGATAAAAATTAAAAGCAAAGAAGCAGAAACATTTTTAGCATGTGTTTCTAAAAATATAAGCCTACGATCTATTAGTAAGAAACCCTGAATCATTGATAGTATGTTATTAAATGAAAAACATAAGAATGTTACAAATAAGGAATGAGGGAAAAAATCTATTTTAATCAAAACCTGAAAATAAACATAGATTATCTGTTCAGATCCTGAGAGGAGCTCATCCACGTATTTAATACTTACGTCTTTCTTAGTTTTTAGAATCATTGACTCCAGAAGTTTTTTTTTTTTTTAAGATTTTATTTATTTGACAGAGAGAGACACAGCGCAAGAGGGAACACAAGCAGGAGGAGTGGGAGAGGGAGAAGCAGGCTTCCTGCCGAGCAGGGAGGCCAATGTGGGGCTTGATCCCAAGACCCTGGGACCATGACTTGAACAGAAGGCAGACATTTAACGACTGAGCCACCCAGGTACCCAGACTCCAGAAGTTTTTAAGAGGATCTATTTGTTTGTCTTATTATCACTTCAAACTCATCATGTTCCAAATAACATGAACTCTACAATGTAAGCTCCACAGGGGAAGGAATTTTGTCTGTTTGGTTCACTGCTGAATCCCCAGTACACAGAATAGTGCCTGGGTTACAGTAAATGCTCAATAAATATTTGTGAAATGAATGGATATACTCCTGTAAGGAAAATGTGAGAAAGGCCTTAGCTCATCCATCAGTTAACTCTGCCTATCACTATCTTTGACTAGAATATTTCACAACTCTGTAGAGATCAAAGTTAACTTATAGAAATACCACATCCACTGAAATATACAATCTGTCTAGTGAATGTTCAACTGATTCCTTCAAGGTAGAAGAAACAAGTTTTTTGCTTTAAGTACTTCCATTTCAGTATTCTTGATGCGCTGATTTTTTTGGTATCATCACCGAATTCTCCTTTGAACCAATTTTAATTCCTTTGTGGTTCCCTTATTAATGAATTAAATGAAATATCTGACACATGTTCATTTTATATTTGTAGGAAAAACATGGTTTTACTTAAAAAAAAAAATCCTTTATCATTTTTGGAAGTCCCACTGAGATGTACAATGGATTCACCTCGTAGAACCAGGTATGGGTAGCTTAAACCCAGACATGTCTTCTTTTGGCTCTGAGGTAAAACACAAGCAGTGACAGAATTTTCACTCTATAGCTGACTCTATATCTCTTTTTAATTAAGTGTTTAATTTTAACACCAGTATAGAGTGTTGTATTAGTTTTAGGTGTACAATATAGTGATTCAACAATTCTATATATTACTCAGTGTTCATCATGATAAGTATACTCTTAATCCCCCCCATCATCTATTTTACCCATCCCTCCCACCCACCTCCCCTTTGGTAGCCATCTGTTTGTTCTCTATAGTTAAGAGTCTGTTTCTTGGTCTTTCTCTGAACTTCTAACTTTATACTATCTTCCCTACTGATTTTGTGTTTTGTATTTCTAGTTTGCTTATGGCAGGTAAATTATTCCCTATTGGTAGCAGCAATGATTAAGAATTTGATTTTATGTCTTGTCACTTGGTAATCTCTGTAAATGGATTAATTATCAAGAGTTCTTCTGGGTGAGAAATGACACAATCTGGACAGTCCATATGGGTGAAAAATGACAGAATCTCTGTAAATCAATTAATAGATTATCAAAGGTCTTTTTGGTGAGAAAGAACAGAGATTTTTATTTGTGTATTTGTCCATTTTGCGCTCAAATCCATTAAGAATTCTGTGCCCATGGTGAAGGAGAACAACTTTTTGATATCTAGACCAAGGGATTTGTATGTTTCTGAGTTTACTACTGAACTGAAATTGTAGAACTGAAGCTATAAGTTTTCTCTGTTCTCTGTGTCATTATGTTTCTGTTTCTAAATCAGAAAGGCCTTTTCTTTCATTGTGTATGTTAGGTTTTCCTGCTGCTATAAATAATAACTTATATTAAAGTAACTCTCTTCTGAGTTATAGAGATAAATAAGCATTTATATAAAGTATTTCTAAAATTCCTTTAAAATAAAACATTGAACTTCTAATACTTTAAAAGTGCTGAAGAAACATTCTTACACAAACTAAAAACACCCTAAGAATGCAAGTTTGCATTGTTAATGTAAAGTGTTAGCAAACAAGATGATCTACTAATTTTGGTTTAATCAAAAGAGCTATATATTCTGATTTATCAGTGTTAAATTTCCCTTTCTCCCTCAGACAAAACTACTTAAAGTTCTAAATAATGCCATGGCTGTTTCACAACTCTACACAAGTTGATCTCTCCAACCAGCATTTCCTTCCTGCCTTGATCCAGTGGGAAACTTAATCTTTCTGTAATACTAAGCTCAATGAACAAATTCTATGATCGCCCCTCTACAACAATACTAATGCTAATGCATTGAGCCTTAGTGTAGTTATGTGCTTGCCCATTTTAACTCATTTAACCCACCTGCACAGTAAGTGATCAATAAACGTTAGCTACTTTCTCTCTTCTCTTGTACTCCTTCCCTCAGGGTAACTTTCAAAATGCTATACATTAGAAATACTGGGTTATCTGAAATATTGTTTTAAAACCTTGACCTGTACTTCTGAAACAAAAAATACATTATATGTTAAAAAAAGAAGATAGTAGGAAGGGAAAAATAAAGGGGGGGGGAATTCTGAGGGGGAGACGAACCATGAGAGACTATGGAGTCTGAGAAACAAACTGAGGGTTCTAGAGGGGAGGGGGTGGGGGATGGATTAGCCTGGTGATGGGTATTAAAGAGGGCACATACTGAATGGAACACTGGGTGTTATATGCAAACAATGAATCATGGGACACTACATCAAAAACTAATGATGTAGAAGGGGTGCCTGGGTGGCTCAGTCATTGAGCATCTGCCTTTGGCTCAGGTCATGATCCCAGGGTCCTGGGATTGAGTCCCACATCAGGCTGCTTGATAGCGGGGAGTAAGTATGCTTCTCTCCCTGCTGCTCCCCCTGCTTGTGCTCTCTCTCTCTCTCTGTCAAATAAATAAATAAAGTCTTAAAAAAAAAAAAAAAACTAATGATGTAGGGAGGAGCAAGATGTCTGAGGAGTAGGAGACCTAAATTTCATTCGGTCCCAGGAATTCAGCTAGATAGGGATCAAACCATTCTGAACACCTACGAACTCAACAGGAGATCGAAGAAAAGAATAGCAGCAACTGTCTGAACAGAAAAGCGACCACTTTCTGGAAGGTAGGACGTGCGGAGAAGTGAATCCAAGGTGATATTCGGGATGATAGATGGCGGGGGAGGGGGCCTCCGTCAGCAGCTACTGGCAAGTGATAGAGCAGCAGAGCACAAAATTGGAACTTTTAGAAGCCTGGTCTGATGAGGGACGTCGCTCCAGTGGCTAAGTGGGGGGTGGAACCCATGCTGGGACAGTGTGGTCTCAGTACCCTCGGGGTCACAGAAACACCGGGGGTGCCTGAGTGTGGCAGAGCTCCCAGGTATCGGAGCAGGGAAGCCGGCTGCAGAGATGGAGCCAAGGAGTGGGCTCTCAGCTCGGGGTTGCCATAAACTGTGATCTGTGGCACAGTCAGGACACTGCTCTTCCAGCAGGGACCCAACAAGTGGCACAGCCAGGGAGATTCCCCTTCCTCCCCACGGAGGGGCAGTGCAGGAGTGCATCACAGGGATCTGCTGGGTTTGGAGACTCCACACGAG